CTCTCCTGCGTCTTTGCCAGGGTATGGCGACTTCCGGTGAAGCGTGTCCGTGTCCTGCACCTTTTCAAACGGTTTATTTGGTAACAGTGCATTGGAGCAGCTGTCTCCACCACTCGCCACCAAAATGGCTTGTCGACTGTGGACTCCATGTTTGGAAAAGCAGGAGGAAAACAGTGTTTAAAATGCAGAGGGCTTGCGTGGGTTATAAAACAACAAACAAAAAGAGAATATGTAACCCAGCAATTAACCTTAAAAAAAAACCAGTGGTGCTTTCTAGGTAAACGTGCACACCTTCCAATACTGAAACGGGGTGACGATCAGAGGTGGGGTTTCATGAAACCTGCTCTCGGGACTCGGTTTTGTTTCTGTCCAGCTTGTCTTCCGGTAGTGAGCTTTCAGATGCTCCTAGAAAAGAGGCTATCCCCAAAGTAATTCCACTCTTTTCTCTTCCTCTACCTTCACAGAACCTGCCTTTGAATATTATTAATATATTTCTTTAGTTTCCGTGAGATTTATATTCCACCACTGCTTTACAGTGCTTATTAGCTGGGCAAAGTAACTGCTGGGTATTAATCTCTCGGGGGACTGGACTACAAACCTGCCCAGACTTGTCTTCTCACTACCTCGCCACCCATAACAACGCCGAGGACACTGTGCCTTTCGGTTCCATTACAGAAAGCTCCTGGGCCACCGACTCTGAAAGGATCCATTGCTTTAAATATTTCTGCATGTGATGAGCATGTGCTCACGTGATTTATGGTAGTGTCTGGTGGCTTTTTTGGTATGGGTGTCATATTTCCATCTTGTATCTCTGTGTCCTGTGTCCTGTGTCAAACGAACTGAAGCAGGGCGGCTGCATTGGACCACCCCAGGGGGTGGCTTTCCACATTCTAGTCGGTGGTGCCTTAAGGAGCTGCACCGTGCATAACCTGGGCAGCCTTGGGTGGTGGCCCTGACTGCTAAAGTCATCAGACCGGCCGGTGGAGCGCTTGGGTGTGTGCTGTTGGGAAAAGGCTGACGATGTACGCTTGAAGGGCAGTGGTGGAGGACATTAGAGCTGGAGGGGGCAGGGTTCACTCTTTGTGATTATGGGGTGAGATTTATATCACCTGCCAAGCTTTTAGAGAGGCTGAGAAAGGAGATATTAGGGGCCCTGCTTCCTGGGAGGCTCTAGATATGAGGTGTGGTTGACCTCAAACCCCAGAGGGGACTGGGCATGTACCAGGGGACTGGCACATGCATTTACCAACTTACAAGTTCTCTGAAGATGTGTCAGCCCTTGCTGGACGAGGAGGGAGATTCCCCACCCCCTTATTTTAAAATCTAGTAGCACCTTAATGTTTAGGCAGAGCTCGCTTTCTCTGCAACCCAAAAGCTTCCCAGTGAACAAGCTTTATGGGAGGGGCTCTCTTCTGCCTGCAGAGTGTTCAAGTCAGCACCCATCCGCAACTATAGATCCCTTTGGAGATCCTAAATGGAGCTGCAGAATTGTTGTCATGGTTACCTAGGACAGTTTGAGGCCAGAATGTTTTCGAGGAGGGCAGCCCTGAGCTGAGTATCCTGGGTTTCTGAGTAGGCATCTGAGCCAAGAGAATTGTTTCCCTCTTCCTTCTCCCATGCTCCTAATCCCTAACCAGGAGCCTGGTATCTACACTGATCATCCTAGCTTCAGCCCAGCCCAAACCCACTGCCCACGCTTGATACCGCCTAAAAGATCAGGCTGACCTGGCAGCACCCGACTGTGGCTCGGGGGTGCCTCCCCCCTTAACAAACCAACAGAGGTTCCTGGATTCACTTGTGCATGCAGCTGCTTCTAGGCAAAAGACACCTGTGAAGTAGCAGTTCTCTGCACTTCACATATTAATAAGGAACTGATATTTTTGAAAACCTCCTATGAGCCCAGCACTTGACATGTCTCATGTAATTTACCAGCCTAGCGCAGGAGGAAATATCATTCACATTTTATCTATGAGGAACCAGGGGCTTAAAGAGGTGATGCCTGGGGCTGCACAACAGGAAGTGGCAGATCTGGGATTCCAATTCAGGCTGGTAGATTCCAAAGATAGTCAGTCTTCTTTCCTCCAACGCATGGCTGCCATTTTAGCCACTGAGAGTTGGTAGCTCCAAAATGCTGTCAGCCATCTAGGGGACCCTGAGCATTCATTCGTTCATTCAGCAAATATGCCCTGAGTCTGCTCTATGCCAGACCTTCTGCTGGCTATCAGAGACACAAAGATAAATCAGACACAACCTTCGCTCTCAAGAAACTAACCCACTGACGACCAGCAGTAATTAAAAGAGAGGCATCTACAAGACGCTAGAGAGATGGGGCGGTCAGGGAAACCGGGAGGAAATGACACCTGCCTGAACCAGCTAAGTCTCAAGATATGTCCAGTTGTGGGGAATAAACAGCAGAGTAACACTCAATCCCTATGCTCAAGGTACTTGCAGTAGAGTTGCAGAGATAAGCCTCACGTTCACCGGACAATGAAAGACAGTAAAATCACTGAGGCCCAAACAGTTGTTCTACGTGGGAAACTGAGGCAGCGGAAGTTGGGGCCATGGAGGGAAGGCTACAGAAAGGAAATGAAAGCCACCTTTGTTCATAAGGTTCATCTTAAAGGTCTTTGAGCTCTCCTTACTTCCGATTCTTGTGATAGTCGCTTCTGGCTCTACTCCAATTTCTGTTTTTCATTTTTCATTTCCTACTAAAAGAAAACACTGTTCAACATCTTTAGAGCTTGTGCTGAGAGCAAGGCATTCATGATCCTAGCTAGGCCCTGGTGGCGGTCGCTGCGGGGGACAGAGGTGAACAAGACAAGCCCCTGAGCAACAAATGAATAACCTAAATGGTGAAAGTTTGAGAGGTGTGAGCTCCAAACCAAATGGAACGAAATAATTCAGACTTGGAATGGAGGTCGTCATTCAGGAAAGACGTCACTAATGTGGGTTTGCTTATTTATTTCTTCAGCATCCATTCACCGATGCCTCCTACCTGCGAGGTCTCTCCTCAAAGAGCCAGCCCACCGTTGAGCACAGACATAAGCGACCCTTAGAATATATTGTGGTAAACAAGCACGAAATGTACACAGGGCAGGGGACGCTCCTAGGAGAGAATTCGGAAGACAGTGTTGGTAGCTTTTTGAACTGATTCTTAAAACTTAATCGTTTTCCAAGTGGAGGAGAGAGTAAAGGGAAGGTAAAAACGCAGAGTATGCTTGAAGCAGCTCGGTGTGGGGCGTTTGGGGGGAGATGAGGTGTGAAGATATACTGCCCTCAGAGAGTAAAGGCTTTGCATACCAGACTAAGGCGCGGTAAGAGGCAGCCATAGAAGAGAACTGAGCAGGTTAGGACCACGAGATTGTCGTTTTGGAAATGTCCCTCTGGTACAGAGTAGGATGGACTAGAACTGGATGGAGATGAGGGCTCGGCCATGGACGCCTGGCCAGAGCAGCTGCATCTTTGTGCTTGAGTGGCTGTACCAGACGGGAGCCTAAGCCAAGCTGGGGGTTTGGGGGTGGGGGAATGGAAGGCGAAGGGAGAGTCCCGAGTGAGGGCTACAATCAGGACAAGGACATACGCAGTTCTAGGCACCGCACAGCTGCTAGGAAGACCCACCTCCCCTTCCAGATCCCTCTGGGGCGGAGCTCGAGCCAAAGCACGTGACGCCTGGGGAACCACCTTTACTGTGGGCAGTCCTCCCGTTCATTCGTGGTTTCGCGCGTCGCCACTCCGATACTCAACACCTTGACTCTT